AAGTAGTCTACTAACAAAAAGTTTAATGGTAACTATATATAAAAATTAGCATATGAAAATTAACTGTACTTCTATATAACCACACCAATAAAACTAGGAAATATACTTTTTAAGATAACATTAACAAAACTACATGAAGGACAAATATATAAAGATATACAGACTTATACATCTTATATGTAGAATATAAAATATGTATGGAATATATGTTGAGTACGTTACGTGAATGTATAATGAATATAATTTAACATGTATAAAACTAGTAATCAGATAATTACAAAGCTTTACTGAGACACATCAGAGAAGACTTTAAATGGAGGGCTACACTGTGGATAGGAAGACCCAGTGTCCTTTCCCCCCAAAATTGAATGTATAAATGTAGCAAAATTGCAATAAATATCCCAGCAGAGTTTTTTGCCTCATGGAACTTGACAAGCTGATTCTAAAATGTATATAGAAGCATGCACGGTGGTGCATGCCTGTAATCCCAGCACGCTGGGAGGTTTAGGCAGGAGGATTGCAAGTTGGTGCCCAGCCTGAGCAACTGAGCAACTCTGTGAGACCCTGCATTAACATGAAAAATAAAAAAGGGCTAGGAATGTAGGTGAGTCCAAAGGCCCTAGATTCAATCCGCAGTACCACCAAAACATTTTATAAAGAAACATAAATTCTCAAGAATAATCAATATAGGCATGAAGAACAAAATTTAGGAGGACCTGCCTTACTATTAAAACTTTTTATTAATCTTTAGTAATAAAGATGGTGCAATGAGAAGGTTCACATGTTGAATGATGAAATAGAATAGCAGAACCCAGAAAGAATTCCATGCACTTGTAGAAATTGGATACATTTCAGTGGTGCAATTGCCAATCACAAGTGGATAGATTATGCCAATATGGAACTGGGACCATTAGCAATCTGTGATTACTTCCTCACACCATTTTTTATTTGTTTTAATGAAAAATGTTATTTTTTGCAACCACTTAGCACTTCTCATGGCCTCCTTCAAGATTTTAATAAAAAATTTATTGCTACTTTGTTTTACCTCATTTACCATTACAAATAAAATTTGTCATATTTGACATTTATTTTAACTTTCTTCAGGGTATTTTGATTTTTTTTCCAAATGTGTGGATCACTTCTTTTTTCTCCTCCATGCTTAACCATAAAGGCTATTTTTAAAATTATTTTTATTGGTATATGTTTGAAATACATAACAATTACATTCATTACAGGAAATTAATGCATATACATATCACTTCTTGATCAGTTTTACTCCCTTTTTCTCCTCATCCTTTTCTCTTCTCCCTTCCCCAGATCCTCTTTATTACACCCTGTAAAGACACACAAGAGGACTTCCAGAACTGCTTCAGAAAGTGGCCAGAAGGATGGGATAAGCATGTTTGAAGTGATGGGGGATACTCCAAGGGGGATGAATGGCAACGTTTCCTTTACTGAAATAATTTTTTTCTATTTAAACATTCATCATATATTTCGATCTTATCTCATATGTGTCCTTGATAGGTAATGAGAATGGCAGTTTACCTTGGTGTTCTTCTCTCCCAAAGCACACAATCCTAGTCTAATAATGGGGGAAATATTAGACAAATCCCAGTAGAGGAACATTCCACAAAATACCTAAACAGTACTCCTTAAACTGTTGAGATGGGCTGGAGATTTAGCTCATTGGTGCCACCGCCTGGCTTGCAAACACAAGGTCCTGAGTTGGATCCCTGGTACCAAAACAAACAAAAAAATGGGTGTTCTTAAAACTGTCGAGATCATCAAAAATAAGACAAATCAGCTGGGCATGGTGCTGCATGCCCGTAATCCCAGCACTCTCAGTGACCGAGGCAAGAGGATCTTGTGTTCAAGCCCAGCCTGGGCAATTTAGGGAGACCCTGTCTCAAAAGAAAAAAGAAAAACATTAAGAGCTGGGAATGTAGCTCAGTGTGAAGGCCTTGGGTTCAATCTCCAATGCAAAAACAAAATAAAATAAATTAAAATTTAAAAAGCAAATCTAAGAAAATGTCGTGGCCCAGAGGGGCCAAGACATGATCAATAATGTAATTCATGTAAAGGTACAAGTTCCCAATGAGAAATGTAAATGTGTTGTATACCTAAAATGTACCAATAAAAGAATTTTTAAAAAATAAACGAATAAATAAATCAATAATGTAATGTGGTACTGTCAATGAGATCCCAGAACACAAAGTTGACATTAGGTAAAACCCAAGGAAATCTGAATAAAGTATGGACTTTAGTTAATAATAAAGTATTAATATCAGGTCATTGGTTATATCAAACATCTTATGCTAACAAGCTAATAATAGGGGAAACTGAGCATGAGTATATGGGGATTCTGTACTGTCTTCCTACGTTTGCTGTTAAGTAAAATAGTTCTAAGAAAAACATTTATTTAGAAAAATGACATTCTAAAAGAGGTAGAGGGATTGTTGAAGAGATACACATTGATCAACGTAATTTATGAACCTTGGGGAAGCAGCTGTAAAAGTTATTCTGACAACACATGGAGAAATCTGAATATGAAGCAATGCGGGAGGGTGGCTGTTTTAGTTGTGAGAATATTGTATGGTCAAATGGGAAAACGTCTTCTTCGCACTTGGAGGAGAGGCATGCTTACATAGCTGGGGATGGCATGAAGCATTTTGCAACTTAACAAAAATTATTAAGAAGGGGGAAAAAGTACATTTGGTGAAAGAAAAGGCACTAGCAAGATGTTAGGAATGGTGACTCTGAATGATGACTCTGAACGAAATGTTTATCACGCTATTTTTTCACATTTCTGTAGGTTTGAAGTTTTACAAAATAAAATTTTAGGAAAAATATTAATATGATCTGAGATTTAGACAAAATGATAATGAAAACCAATCTGGCGGGCTGGGGATTTAGCTCAGAGGTTTCGCCGCCTGGTGCTTAAGCGCAAGGACCGGAATTTGATCCCCGGTACCAGAAAAAAAACCACACAAACAAACAAAAAAAGAAAACCAATCTGGAAATAATGAACTAGCAATGCCAAGTAAGAAAATGTATAATAACTGAAAATATTTAAGAGCAGCATTTTTGGCAACCGACTGCAGTCTAAAAACAGAACTAAATATGTTTGGAAATTCAATGTAGGAGTGAAAATGGCTTTTTCAATGTGGAAAATCAACAAATGGGGTTGGGATAGCTAGAGACTTATTTGGGGAAGAAAAATGCTGAATCCTTCATTCCTACTACATAAATTTCAAATAAAGATTTAAAGGTTAAAAAATAACCTTGAGAGTCCTGGAAAATATGCTAAATTTACTCTGAAATGTAAAAGCCTTTCTCAGCAAGGCAAAATCCTAAAAGCCCTAAAGACTGATAAATGTAACTGCATAAATAAATGAAACTGAGGGAAATATTATAAAACAAATGGCAATGGACTAATGTTCTTAGTTTTCAGAAAGCTTATTCAAACCTAAAAATCATCTAGAAAACAGAACATGATCATACAGTTCAGAGAAAATATCAGTGACCAATAAACATAAAAGATATGTTCCAATCCCATTAAAAGGCATTAGACCTTCATTAAAATAAAAGAAACCATTTATTCATTTTCAGGTGATCAAACTTAAAAAGTTTAGCAACCAGGATTGGCATGGGTCTGGTAAATAATCACAGTAGATGTGGAAGTATACAGGGCAAAATTTCCTGTAGGACAATTCCGCAGTAGCTATACAATGAAAATGACAAATACCTTTTGATCCAGCAATTCCATTGTAGGAATTAACCCTGTAGACATAATCTCATTAAACATACAAGTATGTTTATTGCAATATGACTTAGAATAAAATATTGGGAAGAACCAAAAAGTCCATCAATAAACATTTACAACAAATTGGAATATCATAGTCATTAAAAAGAATATTTCTGTATATAGTGATACAGAATGATCTTATAAAACACAAGTAGTAAAAAAAGAGCGAGGTACAGAAAAGTGTATATAGCCTGATTCCATTATTTTAACTTTTAAAGTGCATTATTTGCTGCCAGGTATGGTGGCACACACATATACTACCAGACTCTGGGAGGCTGAGGCAGGAGGATCACAAGTTCTAGCCCACCCTAGACAACTTAGAGACCCTGTCTCAAGATTTTAAATTGAAAGGGTGGGGATGTAGCTCAAGGGCCTGGGTTCAATCCCCAGTACCAAAAAAAAAATGTTTTATTTTTTGACAAACAGAAATACAAAACACTTGAAGCTGGTTACCTGTGGAGGTTAAGTATTTTGGTAGGAGGGACGGGGGCAGGAGTTTTAACTTTACATCTTTCTGTACCATCTGATCATTTTGCCACATGCATGTATCAACTTTTCCCTCTCTTTAAAGAACACTTGATTAGGTTACTTTGAGATATTAGGTAAATTTGAGTACTGGTCGTGTTTTCAAAATACTGTAGCTAAGTGCTAACTTTTACAATCTAGAACTTCCCCTTGAATTTTCATTAAGCTTTAGATTTGCCCCTGATGCCTTAATCACAATGATTTCCTGGTAAGTACAATTTAACAGGCACTTTGACTATTTAACAAACTTTGTGATGGAATGATTAGGGACTGCTGCTCCATGATCAACTCTTGGCTGGGCGTCATGGTGCACTCCTATAATCCCAGCATGCTCAGAGGCTGAGGCAGGACTGCAAGTTCAAGCAGACACTGGGAAACTTAACAAGATCCTGCCTCAAACTTTAAAAGGGCTGGGGATGTAGCTCAGTGCAAAGGGCATTTGATGATTTATAAACACAAATATGAAATTAACATTCTATGTGGGCTATAAAAACAAAATTACAACAAGACTTTACATGTACAGTTAAAGTATCCATTGAATTTAGGAAAACACCAACATACACTAGAAAAAATATAGTCATAAAATTAGCTCTTACATTTTTCTGGGGACAGAGAAGCAGAAGAAACGAGATAAAAAGTAAAAACAAAAAACAAAGAAAACACTACCAAAAACAGGGTGAGACAATCATTTATTTATTACACAGGGAAAGATAATTTAAAGAGAGGAAACAAATCCAAAGAAATGTGTTTAGCTTGGTGTTACAGGCATCGATGTTCACAACAAACAACACTACTCAATACATCATGGAAACAGGCCACATATAACCAGGAAGATGCTGTCATGCCAATCAAGAATAAGCCACAATGCTTAGGAAACAATTAATTAGTAGGGAGTCACAGAGCATATGCCTCCAGTTCACAGATCTGCATTTTCTGCTGCTGGGCCACTGGCCCATAGTATTTGGCTGGTTGCCTGATTATTAAGGAGTCTCCCTATATTCTGGGGAACTTTGATTGGTGCGCACTTTTCATACTTCTGAATTGTTACTGAAATCAGAGTCAACTGCAGGCTTAATTAGTTCATATCACTATATTGTTTTTAACTACCCTAGGCAGAAATGGACTATTTTGTAGTGCTGTAAGTAAAACTCCATACTTAAAACATTTAGCACTGTTACAATGCACTCAAATCACCTTCAGTCTTATAGTACATACTTAAAACAGACAACAGAAATTCACTGGTGTAAATTTAAGAAGAAATTTGGGGCGCTCATCTGGCCCAAGGTATACAAGCTGCTAGCATAGCAAAGTTACACATACCTGAAAACTGCTATGTCAATTTTTTGCCAAATTATTTGGCATCACTTTTAGCAGGATTATCCTGACTGGGCAGAAAAAGAGAGATTTCAATAACTGTTCTAGAAACTATCCAAAATATTATAAGCAGTAGTATATCATGATTGCTTGGCTACAAGGAAAAGCTATTCAGCATAAGATTAACTCAGAAACCTACTAGGTAACTGACCCTCCCTCATTAAATCTGCTGGTTTACCAACCACTTCCTTTCACTGTAATAAGTTTTCAAGATGAGAACTTTTCATTTCACACAGAAAACTCTATGTGGGTAGTCAGTCACCAAAGATTAGATATGAATCCACTTATATTAAATAATCAGAATAGGCAGAGCTATAGAAAAAGAAAGAAAGACATGGCTGCCTAGGGCTGGGGGTGGGTACTGGAAGAAAATAAGAGGCGACTGCTACCGGGTTCAGAGCTCCTTTGGGGGTAATGTAATATCCTAAAAATTTGACTGTGCTCATGGTTGCACAACCTTGTGAATAAAAAAATCATTTAATTGTACCCATTAAAAAGGTGAATTGCAAGCTATGTGAATTGTATCTCAGTAACAGTACTACAAAAACACATTAGGAGGGCCAGGGATTTAGCTCAGTGGTTCCGGTACCTGCCGCACAAGCGCAAGTTCCCAAGTTCGATCCCCAGTACCAAAAAAACAAAACAAAAACCCAAAAACACATTAGGAAAGGAAGACAGCCCCAAAAGAGAAGAAAACAGGAAGCTCTCCCGAATCAAGTCGTACCTGAGGAAACAACAGACGAGCCTGATAGCAGAGGCTAGTTTTTTCGCACAGTATTTTGACTTCATTATTATCACTATAATCCCTGACTTCATATTTTTAACACATTTCTAACTTATCTTAAGTTACCAACAGATGCTAACTTTGTTCTCTTTAGAGAGCAGAGTCATTGTTGCACGGATTAGGCGGGTAAACGAAAACAATAAAAATCCAATGACAAAATAATCTTGTCCTTTGGGGCTGTGCATTACCAGGCAGGACAGAAGAGCTCGATTCATTTCTAATTAAAAAATGCCATCAAGTATATGGGCATCATATGACTCTTGCCCAAAGCATAGTTGCTTTTCAAACTGGCATACAGTTATTCCCTTTACACCTATACAATTCAACAAAAGTAATGTTTTTATACCTGCACAATTCAACAAAAGCAATGTTTTCTAAAAAAAAATAAACTTGAGCTTCCTGCAGGTTTCGTTTTGTTTTGCTTGGCCCAAAGAGCTAGCCAAATTTCACTAAGAGTAAAATTACTGTTTCTGAAAAAATTCAACTCTTTATCCTCATCTTCACCTTTAGCACCATACAGGGAAGATGGAAAATGGTAAGCCTGCTATAAATCAGAAGCTAGACAACAATTTCTTCAATGACCTTAGTTTTCTAAACAAATATATTAGTTCCAAATATTTAGAATATATTTGGTCCGATTCCTTTACATCTGCCTTTACGTTAATGAGTCGTTTCCTTTATTTTCACTAATTTACTATCTTAGTATTAAATAGACTAACAAAGACTTTGAATAAGTTAAACTGGCTTAATCACTTTTTCTCACTGATTACTATTCTTCTACATAGGAAGGATAATGAAATCACAAATGACTTTTTAGTCATCTTCCACTATTCGTAACACTATATAATTGGGGAAAGTTTTTACAGCTAACTGAAGAGAACACAAGAAGCTTTAGAGCAAGCTGAGCCTGTTAAATATATTTGCTATGACAGAATTTCTGACATAAAAATTGCTCACTGCAAATGATCTCAGAGAAGTGATCAAATAAGACAGCTGTTAGAAAGCATATGGGAGCGGGGTGGGGTGAGAAGTCATGGATAAATTAAAAACTGGCAAATATCTGTGAAAGAAGAACCACTTTTTAGGGACCGTAAGAAAAAGAGAAGTCATCATTTCAGAATTTGAAAAGAACTGAAGACCATTTTACTGTAATTCAGGTTACAAAATGCAGTAGTCACACAGTATCTCCAAAAAAAGATTCCTAAAAACTGTAGTGCAAAAGAAACCTAGGAAAATAAATAATCACAAAAATCACCATCATTTTTCATGTGTTCAAAATAGTGACTTTTACAAAAGATGCAAATTTGTTTCAAATGAAAAAAATTCCCTATACGAAAGATCAAAGACCCATTTCACAGATAATGTATACTTCATTAACAATCTCATTAACAGTGTACAAACAGGGGCATAGATTTTTTTTTTAAATTAGGTCTGAAAGGTCAATATAAATACTGATGGGAGGAGTGTTTCACACCCCAAACTCCAACATTCAGCTCTGTGTCCTGTTCTGTCCTGTCCTGTCCTGTCCTGATATTACAATTTGTAAAAATCTTAACGGCGCAGTGAATCGACTTTTCGTAACTTCAATGATGTGTCAGAGGACAATGCATCTTGGTTTGAAGAATTTGTTGTATCCGAAGGCTGGAACAGTACACGACCACGATGATTAAATACATAAAAGGATGGGTGATTCCTTAAAGTGTCAAATGTCCTTAAAAGAAAAAAAAAGCATTAATTTTAGATAAATCTTTATAAAAGCCTACTTGAAAATATGCAGCCTTCTAATGAATTATGAATTTGATATGGGTTATATTTTTAAATAAGTTATAAAATCAGACTGTAAATGATAATCATACTGGATCTCATTTTTTTACTATACAAAGAAAATGAGAAACCTGGAAAACTAGCATAAAGTTCTCAAATTTTTGTTATTCAGTTAACACTTTCTGGATGCTTATAAATAGTAACACAAATACTTGCTCAACTTGAATCATCTCTGAAATCTAATGCCAAAGCCTTTTAAAAACCAGTACATAGATTCTACCCATGATTACTCTCATTTGACCCTCACTATTCAAGTCATATGACCACTTCACAGATCTGTTTTCTAAAAATCTTTTAAGTACAACAAAAAATTCCTTTTGGCTCTCCATACATCCTGTTGGCCAAACTGTTATACTTTGCTACAAGCTACCTGATGTTGTTCTATTTTACTTCTTTCTTTCCTGACCCCTTGCCTGTGATTCTTGGTAGACTATTTGTAAGAGCAATAGTGATAGTAGAGTAGCCTTTCTTCTTTCCCAGTCAGAGTGATATGGTCTAAAATAAGTTCACAAACACCTTGGTATATGGCCTTAGCGTTCACCTTTATGTATTATTTTCCTGGAAAGAACAAGAGAACTTTTCCTTTCATAAAAACTCAAATTCCAAAGTCAGATCCCCTAAACATCCAAGCATACCCCCATACAAAGTGAGAGGTGGAATATGTGATTATTTAAAATGTAAATGATGAAGTAAAAGTGAAAGCTGGGATGAGTTCCCTCTACCACATAAGTGTTTACTGTGAACACTTCTAAGAAAATATATAGAGGCCGGGGATTTAGCTCAGTGGCGCTGTGCCTGCCTTGCAAGCTCAAGGCCCTGAGTTCGATCCCCAGTACTGGAAAAAAAGAAACTATATAAGGCTTGTATTTTCAGGATCGCGAAGAGAGATGAAGTCTAGAGATGAAATTAAACCAACGTAAAGTAAAATGTGAGAAAGAAAAGCAAACAAAGCCCATGAGAACAGCTTAGGAGTGCAGGAGAAAAAAGCAAGCAGAATAATACTCTTTAACCCTGGGATAGAAAAGAGCTTGCAGGGCCGGGGATTTAGCTCAGTGGTTTCGCCACCTGCTGCACAAGCGCAAGGACCTGAGTTCTATCCCCAGGACCAAAAAAAATTAATAATAATAATAAAATAAAATAGGTTTTTTTTTTTTTAAAAAAAAGATCCACACACTCTCTGGTGTTGCTCCCAAGGAGCACTACCCCAGGCAGCCATCCCACCTGACATCCAGCCTGCACTCATTCCCCATGAGGTTGCTGCCCTAAACCAAGAGGAGTAGTGGAGAATGAGAGCCAGAGAGGAGTTTCTTCTTTTGAAACACAGGGATGAACAGTTGACATATCAGTCAGATAGTGTGGCATGGCCTTATTCAATGGAGAAGGGTTTTATTTATTAGAACTTTTCCAGTAGAAGTTGGAGACAGCTGTAAGCAGAGTAGCAAGCTTCTCCAGAGAGACTTGCTTCTTGGGACATAGGTCACAAAAGACAGAACTCCTAGGTCTTGTGCACAGTGGAGAGGATTGTTCCCTTCAGACCAGCCTAACACACAGTGAGGAGACCAAGAAGACAGGAAGGCCTCATATCCCTCAAAGCACCAAAGTAAATGTACAAATATTGCTGAGATATTACTCATTTCCCTTAATGAATAGTGCCTACAATTTGAGCCATGCTGCGGGTGGATAGGAGTAGGAGGACCCTGGGCAGTGCGTCCAGTGGCCCCAGACTTTGCAAGTACACCAGGCACCCTATTCTTTGTCTGATAGAGGCTGCTCCCAGAGACCACTGCCAAGCCTGGGCAGTCTATGCCCCTGGTTTGGGTGGTTCTTCTTGCTTCTTCCTTCCCTGCAAAAAAAAAAAAAAAGGAAAAAAAAAAGAAAAGGGCTTGCAGGCAAAACTTATGCCACAGATCAGTTTCAAGTGAGAGAGAAAACAGCAAATGCCTTATTCTTCCAAAGACTAAGTTGGTATGAAAGTATGAAAGAGAAAAAGGGAAGAAAAGCAGGAGAGAAATAAGAGAGGAGAGAAGAGGGAAGAAAGAAAGGGGAAGGAAGGAGGGAGCTTGGTTAAAACTTCGGAGAAATTATCTGTATCTATTTCCATCTATCGAACCAAACAATAATTTTAAGCAACTTGTAAATAGCACAAACTAATACCTTATTCTATTATCAATAGTCAGGCATTCAATTTGGATTCTTCCTATCATATAAAATACTGCCTCAATATTTTTACCCCATTACCCATATAAACTGAACAATCAAAATATAAAAAAACCAAATTTTTATGTACCAGAATACATACATTGTAGATTATATAAATAAAGCAAATCCCTATACAAATAAATGCCTCTGAAAAGGGAAAGACTTACTTATTCTTCAGTTCTGAAGTGGCATCCATGTCTTTAAACTCCCCTGCAATATGAACTATACCATAACAGGTAACTGCAAAGGCCAGAAGTGTCTGAAGAACTATCTGTGAGCATAAAGATTGAGATTACCAAAAGTGCACAAATACTATATGAGACATTCACAATCTCTCCCCTTCTACATGGCTTCCAATGGGCAGTCCTCTCAGCGCCACTCATCAAGGGGTCGATTCTCACTTGAAATGATTTGCACTCAGATACAATAAAATCTTCTGTAAATCCTGGAGCTTGGCTGCAAAAATACTTCTGCTGCTTCAAAAAACGAACTTAAAACACACTCAAATAAACAAAATCACTGAGTACTGAATGGTACCAAACCACTTAATTACCAAATATTACTTGGTTCTAAAAGCAACTAAGAATTTTTTAATTATTGTTCAATATCATAGAATACACAACACAGACAGGCACTATGCAAAGAAAAGAAATAAAAGGACACCACTTACCCACCACCCACTTAGGAAATAAGAATATTCCCAGTACTTGTCAAGCTCCAATGTGTCCCTTTCTGATTGTTTCTTTCACCTTCCCTCTCAAAGTTAACTATTTTTCTTGCTGGGCACGGTAGCAAACACCTGTAATCCCAGCAATCTGAGAAGCTGAGGCAGGAGGACTGCATATTCGAGCCCAGCCTGGGCAACTTAACGAGATCCTATCTCAAAATAAAAACAACTGGGGATGGAGCTCAGCGTGAGGCCCTGGGTTCAATCCCCAGTACTGGAAAAAATACTGTCTCCGACTGTATATTAATCAGGTTTTTTTTCTTAATAAGTATTACAGCTATATATGTATCTCTGAAACATAGTGTTTACTTTTGCCCATTTTGAACTTTCTTTAAATGGACTCCAGTGTATTTTTTAGGTCTAGCTGTTCTCCTTCCACATTATGTTTGTGAGATTCATGCCTGATGTAGTATGCACTTGGAATCCATTCATTTTCACTGTAGTTCATCATACAAAAATGCCACAAATTTTCCATTCCAATGTTGCTAGACATGTGTTCAGATTGTTTCCTGTTATTTTTACAATGTCTACATGAACATTCTTACTCTGTTTCGAGTATGCACATGTTTACTGGCTAATACCATACTACTTTCCAAAGAGGTTGTAGAAACAATAGTGTTGAATGTTTGGAATTAAGCATCAAAGAATTACAAGCATATCTTCTTGATGGTGATTTTCTGAATTTTTAAAGTTTTCCAATTTTAATCAGAAGAAAGTCACTTCACATAGATATAAATGAGTGTGTATCCACAAAAAAGCAAAGGTGACAGACTAAGTTAATAGTCACATCTCAAATCCTCAATTATATACAACAAAAGTCAAAATTAGCCACAAGTTATTATTCTAAATTAAAAACTAATATACTATGTAATACCAGTTTGCACTCCAACCTCCTATGTACCAAGGAGACTTTTTTCATATAAAGCAATGTCTACAAGAATGTGGTAAATCTATGAGTTGTTCAAGATAAATCATGTAATAAAAAGCTAATTATAAAATTATACATATATACACATGCATAATAACTTTTTAAAAGAAAACTTGTGTTTTGACTAGGTAAAGCTATATATACATAAAGGATAACGTTCATGAAGTATGGATATACTTCAAACTATTAGGAACAGAATTGAAATTACTGAGGAATGGGATCAGTTTTTTGTTTTAATTTTGTGTAGTCAGTTTTAATGTTTACACTTATTGCTTGAATCTGTTACAAAGAACTTCCTACTTTTGGAAATACCAAGCCAATGAAGATAAAAATGTGAGTGAGGCTGGAATATGAATATTTTTAACTTAATAAAAACCTTCTTGTTTTTCTCTAGTTTGATCACCTCTGAGTGTCCTAAATACAATTACGAGCGTAGTTTGTTTTTAAATTTTAGGAACTTTTCTAAAAAAAAAACCCATAAAGCTAAATAATCAACTGTTTAAGTTTATTTCATATTGTGGACTGAGCAACTTCTAGAAAGACTATTTTATTTTATTTTACTTTATTAAGAGTAGGAAAATTTATTGAGAGAAAGATAGCTTCTGTCTAAGAGAGACAAAAGGGGGATCAGTAGGGCCAGGGATTTAGCTCAGTGGCTCTGTCACTTGTCTTGCAAGCGCAAGGACCTGAGTTCAATCCCTGGTACCAAAAAAAAAAAAAAAGGGGGATCAGTAAATGGGTTGCCCCTAGAAAGACTATTTTAACTACAGTCCTAGAAACCAAACTGATAAATCTTTTAAGATTTCCAAATCTGGGTTTTACAAAGAGTGATGAAAATTAGGGATGTTATTTCATGTTTGCAAAATGTTAAAGAGAATAAAAATCAGTAAAAAATTATCATAAGCAAAGTAGCTAATTTTTAAAAATATATTTTAATGGAATATAAATGACCAACTTACATCTATTGGCAGTGATTCATCTTCTTTTTCTGTTAATCGCATATAAGAACGATCTATAAACCAGAAGCACACCATTAAGGAATCTGTAGCCCATTTTTCTTTCTTAAAATGCAAGCAAATCAATATACCAAAGTGGCTAAGTTAGATGCTACACAAAGTAATGCTAATCCCAGATTCCTCAAAACCTCTATCTTCCAGGGCAGGCAATCTTAACAAACTACAGATATTTTATTCTCATCATGACTTGCTTTGTCACCTTGTCAAGTGGGGTAAGAGTGATAGATGATGGGTAAGTATGAGGCAGAAATACCTAAGCATAATTTCTCTTTCATTACTACAGTAAAACCAGAAACTTCTGAAACTTTTTACTAAGTGGTCAAAGAAATCAAAATTACTTAAAAATTAATAAGTCTACAGAAAACCCTAATTCTGAATTCTGCTGCCATCATATAGTGAAGAGAAGGTAATACCGTATGGAAACGTTTCTCTTGAGAGAACATGCTGGGGGGAGTGGTGAGATAAGAATTCTAAGACATCAATTTCTTCTCTACTATTACTTAATTATAATTCTGCTGCCGCCTCTGGAGGCAGGAAGGGATAAAAGGAAAAGCATCGGGATTTGGAAGCTGGTAAAACCTGGATCATAGGACCAGCTCTTCAATTTACTGCAATTTATTATATTACATTCAAGTTAATATATCTTCAGTAACTGTGATATGTACTTCAATTTTAGTGTTAAAATGTGGGAGAGGGGAATGTGTCTTAGCACCCAACAAATGCAGTATTTTTTCATTGTCCGAATTTTCCTAGCAGTAAAATGGGAATAATGTGAGGATTAAATGAGGTTCAGAGCTGGAGCTGTAACTCAGTGGTAAAGTGTTTACCTAGCATACATAAGGCCCTGGGTTTGATCCTCAGCACTGCAAAACAACAAACCCACATGGTTCAGTGCAGGATTGGTGTACTGCTTAAAGAAATGTCTTTATGGCAAAAATGATGCCAAAATACCATAGTATACCAAAATGCCACAGTGTGTCATCTGCTGCCACAATGTGACATGACATAATTAGTCTCAAAGATAAGTATTAGTCTGTAACCAATGTGAGAATTACAAAGAGATCTCGTAGTAGTGACAAATCCACAAGGCATGCTCATCACTTCAAACATAAAAGTACAAAATCCTAATTCTAGATGAACCTGGGACAGTCATTTATTTAATGTACTTTGGATATGAAATTACAAATTGTTTTGAGTGGATGTGTATAGACTTTTTCTTACCAGAGAATGCATTTAAAGATATATTCTTAAGTCTTAATTTACAGAGGTTGTAAGGACAGGTAGAAAAGAAAAATCAAATCAATACCAAAAATAAGATTTGGACTAACCTCCTTACTGTCTGTTCCATTTCCAGCCAGCTTTCTTGTTTTCATGAAGCCTATATCTGACTCTAATACTACCTTTAGGCAGGCATTTCTTCATCTGTAACACGAAGGGGTTGGAGTTTGGTGATCTCCAAGGGCCCTCTTGCTCTATGATCACATAACTTTACTACTAAAGCTTATTGTAGAAAATAACACAGTACTCCAGTATATCTTATCTCCTCCAGGACAGTGCTTCTCAAACTAAAGTGTATAAAACCACCTGGAGATCTTCTGAAAATGCAGACACTGATTCAAAAAGTGGGAGGTGGGGCCTGAGCACCTTCTAACCAGCTCCCAGGTGGCACCCATGATGCTAATCTGTAGCCACACTTTGAGCAGCAAGGCTCTAGGATACTTTCCTAAACACCCACTTCCTTCCCCCCAAATTACTGCCCATTTATATACATTTTGGTTGTTGTTTCTTTGAGACAGGGTTTCACTACGTAGCCCTGGCTGGCCTCGAACTCGCGGCGATTCTCCAGTCTCAGCTTCTGAGGGATGGGATGACAGGCGTGCACCATCATGCTCAGCACTTAAATACTTTTAAAATGTCTCTATCACTTTATTGTGATTATTGCTTAAGTCATTTGTTTTTCCACTACCCTATGAACTCCCTTGGGGCATCACTTGTAACCATAGCACCTACCCTCGGAACAACTTCAACCAATTACAGGAAACTGGATTTTATAATGCAGTGCAGTACATCTCTTTTGCCCAAGGTCACACAGATTCAATGTTTAAGCAAGTTCTTAAAAACCAGGCTTTCAGGCTCGCTGTCCAGTGCTCTTTCCTCAGACAGCATCACAGTTCCTCCTTGAGGCAATCTGCCCCTTAACGTCTCAGTCACTGGCTGGATAGCCCAGGAATATCCAAAATACTGCCCACCTAGTTGTCATGAGGCCAAGAGCGAAGTCCTCAATCCCACGCTTTGCCTGATCTGCTCTACTGTCGGGAGCATTTCCACAACATTTTGGGGAAAAAATCATTTGATTAGGCCTAGTTCTTCTGCCTACAGGCCAGCTATGGGATTTCGAGACAAAACTCCATTTTGGCCTCTGGCCACAGCTAAGATCTCAATGGCCCGGAGATGCTGTGATGCTCCAGGACCAGATTATGCCAGCTGAAGGCATCCTGGGAGGAACAAAATCTTCATCTACTCAGTTCCTCATTGTTCTTGGATTTCCGCCGCCACCCCCCTCCCCATTTGTTACACCTTGTTTATCTGGATGTACTGAACTCTCTGCAAGTCATTTGTTACATTTGTTTCTCCCGACGTACTGAATAAAAGGTGTGGCAAGCTCCGGGGCTTTCGTCTTTACCGCCCAGAGCAGCACTGATTGGGCCCAAAGCTCAGTTTCTTCTCAAAGTCTCATTTTTTTCTACCTTTCCTGTATAATAAGTCAATTCTCCTTGTGCTGCCGTGGCTCGCAGGAGACTAGGATTTACTGCAGAGGTTCCAGTTACGTCCCCTCTCCCTGTTCCCTACACTCTATGCTGGATCTGACATCCCTTGCCCCAGATTCCTAGACAGACTCCGCTTTGAACCCTTTCCCAAGACACCCCTTCCTAACTTCTTGCAATCTCAGGTGCCCCACACCCCGCAAATTACAAACCCTGCACCGCTATTAGGAGCCACCCGAAGCTCTAAGGTCCCAAGGGACCATTCCTCGGACCCTCCGCCCGCCAGTCCAGTAGAGCTGAGCCCACACACAGCCCCAGGTTCCGCCCGAGAGGTCCCCGTCCCCCGGGCACTTACGCTGCGCAGCGGAAAAGGCGGCGTGTGCTAGGGCAAAGAGGCCGATGCCTACTAGCCCCTTCCATAGCGATGGCGCCATGATTCGGAAGGAGCAGCAGGCCAACAAAAGAGGGGAAGGGCGGCGGAATGGTTCCCCTTCTACCGGCGGGTGTCCGCGCGGCGCAGAGAGATGACGTTACTGAAGCACCGGGCACGAAGCACCTTAGTGGTGCAGAACCCGGAGAGCACCGAGAAAGCGGAAACAGGAATGCCGGGAAGAAGGGAAAGTCACACGGAGAAAGGTCCGGGACGGCCTCTGAGGCTGCTCTGCACAACCTCTCCGTGAAGGGCGGAGCTGAGCATCGTGTGTAAGAAGGAGGGGAAAGCAGGACCAATGGGGAAGTGAAGAAGGAGGGCTCCAGTGAATGAGCACTGGCCGCGGTGAAGGGGCGGAGCTCGGAGTGGCCGGTGTAAGACCGTGGGCCTCACCAAACGCTCCGAGGAGCTGACTACAGTGAAGATCACCCGGGAGGGAACACACCAGACAAGTTGTGAAAGTAAAACAGACCTTTATTAGTCTGGCCAGACGGCACCCTCAAGCACCATGCTTAGAGGGGCGACCGGCTCAGGGACTGAGGTCTTTATAGGGGTCGCAAGAGGGAACTTTGCAAGCAAAAGTACAGAAGCGAGATGTTGGCGGTTGGGGTAGTCTAGCAACCAAACTTTACATAACAGGCATAAGGCTAACTTGCAGTTTCCTTGGAACAGCAACAAGCACATTCTGGGAACTCGACGTCCCCATGGTGAAGTGTAACAGAAACAGACAAGATGGGGCCTTATTACAAAATGGAGTAACTTTTATTCACTCTCACATTCCCCACTGATTTTAGCACAGTAAGTAATCCTACGCGCGGCTTTCTTCTTCTAGTGGCACTGGGTTGTATCTAGCCTGTTGGTTTAAAACCATTAGGTGAACAGATCCCACCTGGGCCCTTACATAGGCCATAAGTTTATTAATAATGCATGGGCCGAAAGTCAAAGCTAGTAGCAAGATTAACGGGTCCAGCAAGGGCAGAAACAAGAGTAGTCAACCAGGGAGACCAGTTAAACATTGACTGGGACCATCCCTCCCGTTTTTCTAATCTATCATACTTTTCTTGTAGGTGTTTATTTACAGTGGCCAGGGTTTCTCTTATTATTCCAGATTTATTAGCGTAATAGCAACATTGTTCTCCTAGGGCTGCACATAGCCCTCCCTCTTTCATAAACCCAAGGTTGAGTCCTCGGCGATTTTGAAGGACCATCTCAGCCAGAGAATCAACCTGTTTTTCTAAATGAGGCACTGACTCGGTAAGCAGGCCTAAGTCTATTTTTACCTGCTGGGCAAGGGTCTTGAAGTTAGAGTCTTGCAGTCCTTTTGCTGTCGTGCCCAGAGCCGCTGATCCCGCAATGCCTGCTGCAGTTAATACGGGAATCAAAGCTGGGTGGCGCTTTTCTCGGGTGTGTGTCTTCTTAGCTAGGTATTCCCAACCCTGGTCTTCTCCAAATATAGTTACTTGGGGCAAAATGTGGACCATTACGAATACCTCAAGTTCCTGATTAAGGACTGTCATGCACAAACAAGGAGTTATACCATTTGTGCACGCCCACCATGCATTGTTTCCAGCTTTTAGATATTTTTCATTACTGGCAGTGGGTGTTTGATAAGAGCATACGCTGTCCAGATAAGAGGATGTAACACTTGGATTTTTAACACATAACCCTTTTTCCGTTATATCCCCTATTGACAACCTCTGTTGTTTCCAATCACA